TCTACTCCATAACTTCTTGGGTTTCTTTATGAATAAATATTAGCACTTATTAAAATATTCTTCCTTATTTTAAATGCAACTACAAAATAATGAAATTTATTGGATGCTCCACACTATCATTCACATTAATTTATATCAATCTCTGTGTTTTATAATCCTTTGTACATCTTAACAAGGAAAAAGGAACTGATTGGTAATACTAAAGTTCTTAGTCATATAGTTTTTTTGGGTTTTTTAAATAATATTATGTTTTTGGTGAAAGTTTACACAGCAAATTCGGTTCCCATTTAGCAATTTCTATACATATTGTTCAGGGACATTGGTTACATTTTTCACAAGCTGTCAACATTTTCATTTTTCCATTCTGGTTGTTCCATTTCCATTAATCTAGCTTCCCTGCCCCCCCCCCTTTACCTCCATCATTGCTTTAGGGTTAATGTTGACCATATGGTCTCATATAGATGACTTTTTAGAAGAGTTCAGTATTCACTGGTGATATTGTTTATTTTATGAGCTAATCTATTATTTAGCTGAAAGGTGACCTCCAGGAGTGGTTTCAGTTCCAAGTTTAAAGAGTATCTCAGGGTGAAGGTCTTGGGGGATCTGGTAGTCTCTACCAGTCCAGTAAGTCTGGCCTTTTTTAAGAATTTGAGTTTTGTTCTACATTTTTCTCCCATTCTATCCAGGACCATCTGTTGTGTCCCTGGTCAGAATGATTAATAGTGGTAACCAGGTCCATCTAGCTCTTCTGGTCTCAGGATAGACAAGGCTGTGGTTTGTGTAGACTGTTAGTCCTGGGGACTAGCTTCTTCTTTGAGTCTTTGGTTTCCTTCTTTCTCTTTTGCTCTGAATGAGTAGAGACCAGTGGTTGTATCTTAGACAGCTGTTCGCAAGCTTTTAAGACCCCAGACACTACTCAGCAATCTAGGATGTAGAGCATAAACTTTATGAACTTTGTTATGCTGATTTACCGAGTTGCTCCACAAGACTATGGTCCTAAGCCTTCTAATCCAGTAAAACAATCCAAGGAACTGTTTGGTTATATCTAGAAGTATCCGTAACTCTGCCCCTATGTGCTTTATTATATATATGAGTATATATGCAGTACACACGGGCATGTGTATACATATGCCTAAAGATACACCTATTCTTGCACACACATATACTCACATATGCCTCTCTATACACATATATTCATGCATATCTACCTGTGTAACCACACACATATTTTGGTTGTTATTGCTGTTGTTGCAAAATTGTATATGTTATAATATTTAGCAATAATGTCTCTTATTCTTGTGTACTTCTAAGTGTCATCATTTACCTTGGTCAAGTTGTGCCAGATTTCACCCACACTCGATATTGCCTTTCCCATCACCAAAAATAACAAGTGTCTACTATCTAGAAAGTGATTCCCCCTTCCTTTCTCTCCCATCCCTGGCAACCAGCAAAGAACATTTATTTCTGTATGTATGCCTATTCTTGTCTTTTTATAAAAGTGAGATCATACAATATTTGTCCTTTTGTGATTGACTTATCAGACCCTTATCAGATATGTCACTCCCAAAGATTTTTTCCCAGTCTGTAGGATCTCTTTTTACTCTCTTGATAAAGTTTTTTGATGAGCACAAGTATTTAATATTTAGGAGGTCCCAATTATCTAATATGTCTTCTGTTGTTTGTGCATTTGTAGTTGTGTTTGATAATCTATTTCTAAGAAAATTAGGTCCTATAGTTCTGTCCCTATATTATCTTCCAGGAACTTTATAGTTTTAGCTTTAACATTTAGGTCTTTGACCCATTTTGAGTTAGTTTTTGTATATGGTGTGAAGTATGGATCCTGTTTCATTTTTATGCAAATGGATATCCAGTTTTGCCGGCACCATTTGTTAAAGAGACAGTTTCTTCCCCATTGAATGGACTTTGACCCCTTGTCGAAAATCAGCTGCCCATGGATGGATTGACTTCTGGGTTCTCAATTCTATTCCATTGGTCTGTGTGTCTGTCATTGAACCAGTACCAGGCTGTTTTGATTACTGTGGCTGTGTAGTATGTTGTTAAGTGTTTGGCTGCTAACCAAAATGTCAGCAGTTTGAATCCACCAGCTGCTCCTTAGAAACACTATCGGGCAGTTCTGCTCTGTCCTATAGGGTCACTATGAGTTGGAATTGATGGCAGTGGGTTTGGTTTGTTTTTTTTTGGCATAGTATGTTTTGAGATCGGGAAGCATGAGGCCTCCTACTTTGTTTTTCTTCAATATTGCTTTGGCTATTTGGGGCTTCTTTCCTTTCCATATGAAGTTGGCTTTTCCATTTCAGTAAAGAGTGATGTTGGAATTTGGATCATGATTGCATTATAGCTATAGATTGCTTTGGATGGTATTAAGATTTTCACAATGTTAAGTCTTCCAATCCATGAGCATGGAATGTTCTTCATTTACATAGGCCTCTTTTAGTTCCTTGCAGTAATGTTTTGTAGTTTTCATTGTACAGTAAAACCTGCGAAAGTCGGAACCTGTTTAAGGCAGAAACCTGTCAGAGAAGGAAAACTCAAATATTTCCCACTAAATAGTGGTAGACAAGTGGTGACTGCACCCTGTCAAAGGCAGATAACTTGTGAGACCTAGAAGAACAAGGCAGTCTTGTTGAGTTCCAGCTCTCACAAGTTTCACTGTATAAGTCTTCTTGTTTAGGTTTATTCCTAGGTGTTTTCTCCTTTTGGGGGCTATTGTAAATGGTGTTGTTTTCTTGATTTCCTTTTTGGAGTTCTCCTTGTTAGTGTAAAGGAACCCAGCTGATTTTTGTGGGTTGATCTTGTATCCTACCACTTTGCTGAATCTTTCTATTAGATCCAGTAGCTTTCTTGTGGAAATCTCTGGGATTTTCTATATAGAGGATCAGGTCATCTGCGAACAGAGATAGTTTTACTTCTTCCTTTCCAATTTGGATACCTTTATTTCCCTTGCTTGCCTTATTGCTCTGGCTAGGACTTCCAGTACAGTATTGAATAAGAGTGGTGATAGTGGGCATCCTTGTCTCATTCCTGTTCTCAAGGGGAAGGCTCTCAGTCTTTCTCCATTGAAAATAATCTTGGCTGTTGGTTTAGGATATATGCCCTTAATTATGTTGAGGAATTTCCCTTCTATTCCTACTTTGCTGAGAATTTTTACGGAAAGAATGTTGGGTTTTATCAAATGCTTTTCTGCATCAGTTGAGATGATCATGTGATTCTTTTATTTATGTGGTGAATTGCATTGATTGATTTTCTAATGTTGAACCACCTTTGTATTCCTGGTATGAATCTCACCTGTTCATGATGTATGACTTTTTTGATATGCTGTTGGCTAGAATTTTGTTGAGAATTTTTACATCTGTATTCACAAGGGATATTGGTCTGTAATTTTCCTTTTTTGTGATGTCTTTACCTGGCTTTGGCATCAGGGTGATGCTAGCTTTATAGAATGAGTTAGGGAGTATTCCTTCCTTTTCCATGTTTTGGAAGATTTTGAGTAGAATTAATGTCAACACTTCTCTGAATATTTGGCACAATTCCCCAGTGAAGCCATATGGGCCAGGACTTTTTTTTTCCTTTTTTTAATGACATCTTCAATCTCTTCTTTTGTTATGGGTCCATTTAGGCTTTCTACCTCTGTTTGAAGGAGCCCTGGTGGCACAGTGGTTAAGTGCTCAGCTGCTAACCTAAAGGTTGGCAGTTTGAATCCACCAGCTGCTCTGCAAGAGAAAGATGGCAGTTTGCTTCCATAAAGATTACAGCCTTGGAAATCCTTGGGGCAGTTCTCTTCTGCCCTAGAGTCTCTATGCATTAGAATCAACTCAACAGCAAGGGAAATACTTCTATTTGTGTTAGTTTAGGTAGGTAGTGTGTTTCTACAAATTCTCCGTTTCTTAAAGGTTTTCAAATTTATTGGAGTACAATTTTTTGTAGTTATGTTATCATCCTCTTTATCTCAGCTGGATCTGTTGTCATGTCTTCAGTTTCATTTCTTATTTTGGCTATTTGCTTCTTCTCATTCTTTTGCTTTGACAAATTGGCCAGTGGTTTGTCGATTTTATTGATCCTCTCAAAGAACCAACTTCTAGTTTTATTGATTCTATTTTTCTGTTTTCTATTTCATTTATTTCTGCTCTGATCTTTATTATTACCATTCTTCTGGTAGCTTTGGCCTTCTTTTGCTCTTCCTTTTCTTATGTGTTCAAGTTGTCAGGTTAAGTTATTGATTTTGGACCTTTCTTCTTTTTTAATGTATGCATTTATTGCTATAAATTTCCCTCTGTATACTGCTTTTGCTGTATTTCAAAGGTTTTGGTATGGTTGTGTTTTCATTCTTATTTCATTCTAATTACTTTTAATTTCACTTTTGATTTCTTCTATGACCCAGTAGTTTTTAGTAATGTTTTATTTTGTTTCCATATATTTAATTTATTTTCTTTGTTCTTCCTGTTACTGATTTCTAGTTTCATGCCATAATGGTCTGAGAAGATGTCTGTATAATTTTGGCCTTTTTTAATTTATTGAGGCTTGCTTTGTGGCCTAAAATATAGTCTGTTCTGGAGAATGTTCCATGTGTGTAATATAGTTTTAAAGAGCTAAAAGTAATTGACTTTAAAAATATTTGGCAGGCAAATGAGAATATTAAAAACTAGTCTAGAAAAGGAAAGTAATAAGAGAGAGAGTAGAAATACAGGATGTAAAAATGTGTAAAGCAACAGTATTGAAGCAGTGTGGTAGAGGCCCAAGATTACATACATAGATCATTGAAGAATAGAAAGAAATGTTACTTACACAAATTTGACATATATTAAAGGAGGCACTGTTAAACAACAGAAAATGGAATGATTGTTTAATAAATGTGGTTGGGATTACCAGTTAGATTTTTGGTAAAAAATGATCCACATCTACTACAAAATAAATTTCAGATGAATTTGGGTTATATCATTGAAAATCTAGAAAATAAGAAGTTTGAATAATCTGTAAGTTCTCTGGAGCTTTCTAAGCAATTGGAAAACTGGAAAAGGAAAATAGCAAAGATCACTACTGCATAAACAAATTTGTTTTATTGTGTTTTTATTGTAACGGTGAGCATTATAGGAAACCATGTCTGTTCTTTGTTCACAATCTGAAAATTGGTCTCCTTTTCCTCATACCAGCTAAAAACCTTTTGCTTTCCACGTTAGCTAATGGGACAGAGAATGCAATTTCTTTATCTAAAATTTTATTCTATAGATGCATTGAAAATTATACAGGAGCTCGCTGTGAAGAGGTTTTTCTCCCAAGCTCCAGCATCCAAACTAAAAGTGACCTGTTTGCAGCTTTCGTGGCATTGGCTGTCCTAGGAACGCTTATCATTGGAGCCTTCTACTTCCTTTGCAGGTAACCAAAATAGAAACATTCTTTTGAAAAGAAAAAAGTAATGCGTAAGATAGTTATTCTACTATAATTATTGTGTCCTTTAGTTCTAGATATTTGTCCATATAGTGCTTTCCATTTAGCTATCTCTGTAATACAGTTTTTGGTATTAAATTAATAAATAATCATTTGTTCTTTGTTAAACCTAAATATTTGGGCTAAGACTATTTAAAGTAAATTTAAATGTGAAAGAAAAGAAACAACTTATGTAATGCTGTAAGTGTAAGACAAATTATTAATATCTACAGTTAACTCTCTATTTAGTGCCTACTATGTGCCAGGCATTATGATAAGCATGAAGAATACATTAGTGAACAAGATCAATATGTTCCCTAACTTCATAGAGATTTTTAAAATTTTTATTTTGTTGTTGTTGAGAATATACACAGCAGAACATATATCAATTCAACCATTTCTACATGTACAATTCAGTGACATTGATTATATTCTTCAAGTTGTGCAAACATTCTTACTTCCTTTTCTGAGTTGTTCCTCCCCATTAACATAAACTCATTGCCCTCTAAGGTTCCTGTCTAATCTTTTAAGTTGCTGTTGTCACTTTGATCCCATATAGACAGTTCCTAAAATAGCATAATGCTGTAGGTAGACATTTTTTACTAGTTAAGCTAAACTATTGTTTGGTTTTAAAAAGACTTCAGGGATATTTTTGGTTTAAGTTTTAAATGTTATCTCAGTGCAATAGTTTCAGGGTTTCATCCAGCCCCTATGGCTCCAGAAATTCCGGAGTCCATGAAAATTTGAAATTCTATTCTGCATTTTCCCCCTTTTGATCAGGATTCTTCTATAGAATGTTTGATCAAAATGTTCAGTAACGGCAGCTGGGCACCACCCAGTTCTTCTGGTCTCATGGCAAAGGAGGCAGTTGTTCATGGAGACAACTAGCCATACATGCCATATCCTCCTCCTGTTCCTGACTTTCCTTCTTCCCCTGTTGCTTCAGGCAAATAGAGACCAACTGTCATGACTTGGATGCTGCTTGCAAGCTTTTAAGACCCGAGGCCACCAGACACATGAAAAGATGCCTAATGCCATTAGCCATCAGAAAGATGAAAATCAAAACCACAATGAGATACCATTTCACTCCCACTAGGATGGCTAAGATAAAAAAAAAAAAAAAAAACCCTCAGAAAATAACAAATATTGGCAAGGATGTAGGGAAATTAGAATCCTTATCCACTGCTGGTGGGAATGCAAAATGGTACAGCCATTGTAGAAAAGTATGGTGGTTCCTCAAAAGACTAAAAATAGAATTACCCTATGACCTAGCAATGCCATACCTAGGTATATACCCAAAAGACTTGAAAGCAAAGACTCAGAGACTTGTATGCCAATGTTCATTGCAGCACTATTCACGATAGCCAAAAGGTGGAAGCAACCTAAATGCCTATCAGCAGATGAATGGATAACAAAATGTGGTACACATACATACAATAGAATACTACTCAGCCAGCAGAAGAAATGAAGTTTTGATACATGCTACAATATGGATGGAGCTTGAAAACATTATGCTGAGTGAAATAAGTCAATCACAAAAGGACAAATATTGTATAAACTTACTTATACAAAAAGACAAAAAAAGGCAAATGTATAGAGACCAAAGTTTATTAGTGGTTACCAGGGGCAGAAGGGAGGAGGAAAGGGGAAAGTGTTAATGGTGATGGAAAAATCACATTGATTAAGAGTAGGGTTGCACAGCCACTTTTTGTTAATTGCTGTCAGTAAGTTGTACACCTGTAAAAAGTTGAACTAGCAGAAGTTGTGTGATAGATATATTTACAACAACAACAAAAAAAAAGTAGCTGCTGAGGCTGCTTATGTCCAAACAAAAACCTCATAGGATTTGGTTCCTTGGTTTGGAGGTTTAGGGTCGTGGTTTCATGTGACATCCCAGTTAACTAGCCTAATAACGTGGTTAGTACTGCTGTTCTACCTCCTAGTTCATTGTGTAGTGCCTGGGGTCTTAAAGCTTCATAGAGATTTAAATCAACTTGGAGAGAGAGACAAATAAGCAGGCAATTAATTTGGGAAGACTGGTAACTCAACAAAAATAAAAGAAAAAATTATTTGTATGCACCTATGTTACACACCGAATGTTACTATCATTTATAAGTTTTGCTCTTTATATTGTTTTGAAATTTTGTGAAAACAGAATTTAAGTTTATGTGTTAGCTGATCTCATAACTCATCAGTAGTATTTACTAAATGTACACTGAATGTACACTGTATGCTATCATAGATACTTATAAAAATGGAACTGAGGGTAATCATAAAAGATATACAAGTTGGCTTAAGAAGTTTATATGCTAAGAAAGGTAACATGTAGGTAAAATTGTATCTCATAAAATCCTGATTTCTGAATTACTTTACCATCAAGGAGTAATTAAAAGTTGGAGCGAGTTTTCTCGTTTTAAATATGTGGTGTTAAATATTTTATCCCAAAATACATCATGTAAGCAATTCAGTATTTTAGATCTCTCATAATTTTAGCATCTGACTACTTCAGATATAAAAATTTAAATAAAAGCCCATTGTATCAGATGGTATTTTCTAAAGATGGCCACAACATCTCCCATCCCACATGCTCTTCTATAGTGTGACCTAACCACTCCCCATCAAGAGGTAGATTTTATTTCTTTACATCTTTGGATCTGGGCAGGGCCTGTGACTGCTTTGCCCAAAAGAACATGGGAGAAGTGATGCTATTCCAGTTAAGGTCATAGCACTTAAATGGCCTGGCAGCTTCCACTTCCTGCCTCTTGTAACACTCACTCCTAGGGTGTTCCTCTTAGAATCGGCCACTCTGTTGTGACAAGTCTAAAGAGCACAAAGAGATCATGTGTAAATGTTCTGGTCATCAGCCTCAGCTGCACTCCCAACCACAGCTAGCGTCAACTGCCAGCCACCTGAGTGAGCCATCTCAGACATCCAGCTCAGTTGAACCTTTAAGAAACCACACGAGAGATGCCAAACAGAAACTTCCCAGTTGTCAACCCAAAGAACCATGAAAGATAAATTGTTTTAAACCAGTAAGTTTTAGCATGGTCTGTTATGCAGTATAGATAACCAGAACACCTATGTTTGAAATTAGGTTTATTCTTGACTTTAAATAGATAAATGTTTGGGGAAAAGGTGAATAATGATCTATTATTTTTATTTTATCTGTTTAAACATTTTGTTAATGAAATATACTAAGGGGAAGACCAACTGACTAATTTCCTCATTAATCACTGTAGTGTCTGCTTGGAAATATAGCATTTTCATCTGTTATTGATTGAATAATATATACTTTGTATAGTAGCAGTCAGGATGGGCTAGGTTTGGCTGCAGTAATTATCAACCATAACAGTTTAGTGGCTTAAAAACAAAAGATCACTTATCATTCATAGTATATAACTATTATAGGTTGGCAGATGGAGCCTTGCTAATTATACTTACTTAAAGACCCAAACTGATGAACCAGCAACTATCTTGAATGCTGCTGGTTGCCATGCCAGAGAGAAAAGAAAGCTCTGCAGGGTCTCACACTTAATTCAAATGCTCTGTCCCAGAAGTGACACTCATCACTTCTGACATAATTCATTGGCCACAACAAGTTGCCCTACTCAGTCACAGGAGTGTCAGGAAATTCAGTGCTACCACATGCCCATAAGGCAGAGAACCATAAATATTTGGCAAAAAGCACTAATGTCTACCATAGTGACCAAATAATTTATAAGGAAACCTGTATTCCACTGGAAACTGTTAAGAGTAACTTACGTTATTTGTTTTAATCCATAATATTGCTGTAGTTGTTAAAAAATGAAACTCCTTTGCCAACCCATTGAGTTTGTGAAGGGCATGGTATGTTGTCCTCCAGAGATGCTCAGTACCACTGAGCAGCAAAGTTTCAGGAAGAAGGCCTTCTGGGCCATAGTAGCTCTGCAGGCCTGAGCCAGAATTTAGTAATATTTCTAGTCTGAAGTGCCCTATAACAGACTCAGCAATATTTTGAGGTGCCATCAACAGGTAGAAGATATAGGAAAAACAGAATATAAGAATATAAAAAGTGGTACTGAGTGAAAGGAAAAAAGAAATCTCCAATCACAAACGGTATGTGGGTTTACATCATGAATTTGCACTGACTGACTGATGGAAAAAAAAGAATATAATATACTGCTGGCTGGTAGTATTCTCAGGCTACTGACAAAAACAAATACAAATCAATTTTTGAGGACCCCACTCTCATTCTTTAAAGAGCAACTTACAGTATAAAAAAAATTACCAAAAACATAAGGAAACATGCCATTATTAATTAGAACCAGTAGAAATAACTGAAAGTAGAATCAGATGTTCAAAATCTTCAGTTATGAGAAGAATCAGCTGCATAATGTAAAATAAATGTGTTTAATGTGTGACAAGAAAATAAAAGCGATGTTTGGAAATAAGAGTAATAAGCAAGCGGATTTGAAAAAACCAAAACAGAACTCCAGTAAGTAAAATGTAATGATAATAATTTTAAAGACTCAGGACATGTTTTACTTCAATGAAAAGTTTTTAAAGACGCAGTGTATGTTTTAAATAGTAAATTAGACACAGTAAAAGACATAATTAATGAGTTGGAAGAAAGATGAGAAGAAATTATCTAGAAGGTAGTCCTGAGAGAAAAAGAAATGAAAATATGAAAGAGAAGTCAAGACACACGGAGGCTGGAATGAAAGTGTCTAACATATGTTTAATTGGAATTCCAAAAGAAGAAAGAGAATGGGGCAGAGGCAGTATTTGAAAAGGTAATGTCTGCAGCCTTCCCTGAACTGATAAAAGTCACCCACAGATTCTAGAAGCCCTACAAATCCCAAGCAGGATAAAAATATATTTACATCGGGACACATCATAATAAAACTATAGAACACCAAATGCAAAGAGAAAGATCTCAAAAGTGACTAGAAAAGAATGACAGACTACCT